TGGTTATAAGTATTTTTTGTGCTCTTTGGGGCATACTGTTTCAGAAACATGGCAGTGCTGTGGAACACAGTGAATACTAAGTGCCAGGAAAATGGAAACTAATATCCTTCTTCCTATTATGAGGTGTGAAGGAACAGAATTCCACAGAACTGGTAAAACTTGGATTGTACCACTAGAAAACCAGTAACCTTGAAGCTTTTCCCCTCTATCTGGGTAAGTGTAGGGATTTAGTCCTTAAAATACAGCTTCCGTTGGTACATTAGTAATCCTAAATAAGAAAAGTGCAAAATACCCCTCTCAAGAGGTAAAGGGAGTATCTGCTCTGTTTCTACTCCTGAAAAGACTTTTATACAGGATAAGTAGTTAATGCCTTTTGTAAAAGTCGAAATTTATTGCAAGTGACAACGTGATGATAATCTCAGTTCTGAGAGCATTTGCATGAACAGTACTTCTGTAATACGGCTTTATCTTACTTGCACTTCATCACAAGAGCAAGAAATGCATTGGCAGCCTGTTAGAGAACGAAGATCAACTTGTAACTTTTTGATAAACTGCAATTCACTTTTTGCATGCATTATATATTGTAAGCATAAACATTGTACAGCTGAAAGATGGATGGAACTCTGAAAATAATTTTACTGTAGGGCAATAGAAGTTATAACCAAACCTATTGAACTCAGTCCTGTTTCTGCATACCTGAATGTACTTTGCTCAGATCTGGTTTAGCCGTTGTTTTTTTGGTTTGTTTGGGTTTTTTTTCCCCCCAATGGTCTACAAGCTGTGAGGCATACATATAGCATGGAAGAAGGGATACTATAAAAACAGAGGCATGGAATGCTTTTAAAAATAAAAAGAGAAACCCAAAAAAGCCAGTTTTTATTCATTGATGTCAAGGTGGCAGAGGCTACCTAGCTTCTTTTCTAGTTCTGCTCCTATAGATAGTCTTAAAAATTTGTCTGAAGAAAATACAAATTAGCTAACAGTTGTTTCCTGCTAATTGTGATATGGATTACAAAATGAGATAAAGCTGTAGTATCATAATCTCCAATTGTGTAAATTTTTTCTGCAGTACGTTTACAGACCCTTTTTCTGCCACTACCAAATACAACAATATATCATAACTGAATCAAATGTTTGAGCCAACCTTAACAAAAGTGAATAAGGTTTAAAAATACCTAAAACCTTTTCCATCTTGTATATGAGTATTTAGCTTTCCTTAATGTCAAAAGTAGATCAGTCTTATTGTTTTGGATGCTCTTGTTCCAATAGTGTTGTTCATATTTGGAACAGCAGGTTAAGAACTACTTATTTGGAAGGCTTATGCAAATTGTGACTTTTCAGTCCTTGATAAATTCTAGAATTTAAAATAGTTCGAGAAACGTTACAGAAGTCCCAAATACTGGATGAGAAACATCAATTGAGCTACCTTTATGTGAAAATGACCTTTATGTGAAAATCGGATGACTAACAAGCTAAATAAAACTGCTTGTTATTTGTAAGTTCTGGTATAAAGAGCCAAATGTAGATGTGCTTTCTTACACTTGCCTCAAAGCTGTACCCCCAGTCAGCTATTTTCTTTGGAATGACAGTCAGATGGGGATGCTAAAAGCTAAGGAAACTGTTTGCATGGGAGCCAGTAGAAGCTCAAGATAAACAGTTAGGACTCCTGTTTTTTTTTCATCTTTTTCACTCTTAAGATTTTTCCTTGAAACTTGTTCCTTGTGACAATTAGGACTTAAGGTGGTTAAGAAGCTCTGCTCCTTGATGAGTGTACATGTCTATTTTTAGAAGGCATCGAAGTGGTTCCATAAAAGAAAACTTGTTCCTAAAACCTGAGTCTATCCTTTCACAGGAATTTTATTTATCCTCTTGGGATATTTGGGCCATTTTGTGTGAGTCTTTGAGACTCCCTCAGTGGATGTTTCATAGCTTAGAGCAATTTGGCTTGATTTTCAGACCCTAGATGTTGGCAAGATGGCCAGGTCTGTGCATTGCTGCCTGGTTACTGAAGTGGTCTAAGGCCTACTACTAGGTAGTTTATCAGCATCTCTAATTTTTGATAGGGGGCTTTGACAAAGGCTTTCCAGCTTCACCAAAAGAAGCAATAGGATATTTCACCTAAATTAACATAAGGACAACATGGAATCTAAAAGGAATGCACTCCTCACTGGGACTTGAATGGATATGTGAATTAGAGACAGGGACTTGGCATAAAAACCTGTGTACTTCTGGCTGTTACAGCCTACATCATAGGATGATTAGGCTGTTGGTGCTCTGTATCTGTCACTTCTCTGGCCAATCAGATTGGCAGCAAGGGACTGAAAGCTTCAAGCAGAGTTGTTTTGTCTTTCTCAGCAATAGAGTTTCCGCTTTGTTTTAGCATACGAGAGAAACAGGTTGAAAAGTTACTAAAAGGAAAGCCTTTATGTTCTTACACGTCACTGATGAGATGATGTATAGCACCTTGAACTATCAATGTAAACAAAGTTTTGACCACAGTATGCACTCCGCTTGAAATAATCTTGATGAGCCATAAGAAATGGTAGATCAATATGCCTTACAATACACTGAAAAGTACCAGGAAGGAACACAACTTTTTTCTGCAAGCTGTAAGTATAATTGCTTTGCTTAATAAGTTAATATAAAAACCCGAGTGCCATTCTACTTTTAGGTTGTTAGGTTATTGTTCATCTGTAGTTCAGATGCTCTTTGATCTTGAAGGCTTACTTGGATATCATTAAATCTCTGGGGGGAAAAAAAAATAAATCTTCCTTTTACTTATGTTACTAGTGGTGGTAGATATTTGTGGGGAAAAGAAGGAAATAACTAAGGTTGCTACATACTGTGATGCTCTCTGTTCCTCAGTAAATGCATAATTCTAAAAATATTTCAACTGCACTGGATATGAAATATATCAAGTTTTGATTGCTGATCTCCATACATCAGTGACTGCTATATATAATACCGTGTTGAGAAGAAGGGTCTTGACTGAGTAGGTGAGCACCAGGTAGACTCATGTTCCAAAACTTAAGCCAATAGACAGGTTCATATTTTTTTCTGTACTGTCACTTAAGCGTTCTGTCGTATGTTTGTCTTTAGTAGATAAAAGGGAAGAGAAGAATGTGTGTGTTAAGAAAAGGACTTGTGAAAGTTGAAATGTTGTTGTTCTACAGTTTTAAGTGAGGCTGTTGCTTTTGCAGCTGTTCTAAAGGAATATTCTTACTTGTAGGAAGCATCAGAGAGAACGTTGCCTGGCTGCTGGGTTAAACATCCCCTTCTTTTAGGGAAGCAGAATTTACAGTCTGATTAGTAAGAGGGAGAAAAAGCATCTGAAATCTCCTCTTGCTTTCTTGGGTGTTGTTTTTTGGGGGGTGTGGAGAGTTGTTTGGGTGGGATGTGTGTGACCATTTCAGTTCTTGTATGCTTGTTGATTAGGGATTTAGAAAAGGTCAACCAATGACAGTGCATTTCAGAAACACCGCCGAGAGGTTAATTTAGAAATGCTTGTTGACTATTTCAGTAAAATTTGTATGAATCGTGCATGTTTGTGATCTGAACCTTTGCCCCTTCTCTTTCAGCAGAAAGGACAGCAGCCAGGAAATCAGTGGGATTTACATGCTGACCATGTTAAATATCTTCTTTATTTGTGGGGGTGAGGGGGGAGGGCAACACACCCAACTTTCCAGGCTGTTTTGGTTTTACATTGTCCTTGCTATCAAGAGATGAGTTACTGGACAGGTTTTTTCCTAAGTGGGTTGTTTTCTCTTACACAGAGTTCTGTGATGTACGGTTAGGAAGACCGGCAGCTCTAGTTTCCATCATGATGACTTAATTGTACATATAGCATGGCAAACTGTGGCAGCCTATGTTGGCATGTAGGGACTTGAGGTGGTGGTAGTGTTGAACTTCTCTTAGAAGAACAAGTTAAAAAAAAAAGTAACTATAATTTGCTGGTAGATAGTGAACACTGTATATGATAATACTACTTTTGCCATAGGAGCTGAACAGAGTAATAAAAATAGGTACCTCACAACTATGGTAAGTTAGTTGTTTCACATAACTTTAAAGATGGGAAGGGGAGACGGAAACGGCCTTTGTTTTAACTACAGCAATGTTAGTTCTGTAGAGGTGAACTGCACTCTTTTCTCTTTGCAGAAAATGCTGTTATAAAATGTGTGTGCTTACCTGATTTTTATCTAATGAGATTTTACTGAATTCACAAATGCAGCCTGAAATAAATCCTGTGCGATAACGAATCTTGCTGTTTTTTCCTTTTTTAAAAAAATCTATTTAGATGTATTTCTAAGGAACCGAAGGACAAACACAGATCCATTTGTTCTACATTTAGCTTACTATTACTAAGAATGTGTTACAGAGGTATATTTGTCAAATCTCTGAAATTTCAGACATGATTTAGTGGATACTACAGTAGCTATGTAGACACATTTTTTTTTTTACTGTTTTGGTTGAAATACTCATTTAGATCCAAGAAAACTTAATGGATCAAGCCATTGAGTAGATTTTCTAGATTAATCTAAACTACTTTATGCCTTGCAAAATAAAATCTTGTAGTGCCCTTCTACTTTCTGTCCTATCACCTGAACTAGCAAGATTTCCTGATACACATGGACAAACCCTGTTAATATCTGTAGCAATCCTAGGGCGTCAAAAGGAGATATTTTGTATGGAATGCCCCTAAGTAATAAAAGTCAATATTGCTGCAAACATGGATTAGTCCTAATTCTGACAAGTGATAAAGCAGGTGCTGTCATGATCATTAAAAAAAAGCAAGCCTAAATTGCTCCCAGTTCCTAACTGATCAGAGAGACTTGTCAAGTTACTCAGTAGGAACTGGCTTGAATTATTTCACAGTAACTACCTGCCTCTAGTTTGCCTTTTGACTGTATATGTAAGTAGACTTGGATGTAACTTAGAAAAAACATTTTTAAGATATTTATTTAGCGTAACATTACTAGTTCTGAAGGTTCTCAGTAACTTTTGTTTGGTTTTTGCAGGTGATACAGCTCTAGAGGAAAGAAAGAGTTCTCTTCATGACTTGCATTGCAGTATCTGAATAGTGAAAGCACAATGGACACTTTTTAGGGTTTTACAGAAATAAAAACTCATCTAGGAACAAGAACATTGGACTTTGAGGAGTAACAGACTTTAGAGAGCCCAGACACGGATCACTAAACCTGATTTCGGCATACATCTTGGGAATGAATACCATTGAGACAGCAAAGCTCGAAGAGCATATGGAGGGTCAAAACAATGACACTTCTAATGGCTACTCACGACCTACTCTCTCAGTCAGTGAAGAGAACAAAAATGGCACTAGCAAACCAAAGGGCTTGTCTAACGGCTTGCGAAAACCAACAAAGAAATATCCTGATTACATCCAGATTGCTATGCCTTCTGAGTCTAGGAACAAATTTCCTCTGGAATGGTGGAAAACAGGCATTGCCTTTGTCTATGCTCTTTTCAACTTGATTCTAACAACTGTCATGATCACTGTGGTCCATGAGAGAGTACCTCCAAAGGAGCTAAGCCCTCCCTTGCCTGACAAATTTTTTGATTACATTGATCGTGTGAAATGGGCTTTTTCTGTATCAGAAATAAATGGAATGATACTAGTTGGACTATGGATATTCCAGTGGTTGTTTCTTAGATACAAGTAAGTAGCTGTATTTTTTTTCTCTGCTGTATGTTTTCAGAACATAAGTTTCCCTCATTCACTTTGGATAGAAGAAATCTTACAGTAGAATCTGTAGCAATATTGCAGAATAGGGCTGACAGGAAAATGACCAAGAGATGACTTTGGAAAATGCTTCTGTGTCCATGCTGGATATGGAAACACAGGATTCTCCTGATTATTGAATAACATTATTTAAATCTGAATTTGACACCTATGTTGTACTAGTCAAATTTATTCTGGGATTGGGCTTTTCAAAGTGTGTTTACTGATATGGTGATCTTTAAACAGAGGAAATCATGATGATGTAAAAAATGGCATCTAAATTTGAGGAGGAACCCACTGTCCTCTACAGCTAGACTAGAAACTTTTTCCTTTGTCTTCATTTGCTTAAACTATACATATTTAAGTCAAGTATGTGGTTGGAATATGGGACTATAAAGAGAAGGTCACCGAGTTGAGGAAAACTATGCCTAACTGCCCACTTCAGTTAGACTGAGGCCATGTTAAATTGTTTAGGTAGCTTTGGTGTAAGCTTTGTGGTTCATAGAATGGTTAGGGCTGGAAGGGACCTTCAAAGGTCATCTAGTCCAACCCCCCTGCAAGGAACAGGGATATCTCCAACTAGATCAGGTTGCTCAGGGCCTCGTCCAACCTGGCCTTGAACATCTCCAGGGATGGAGCATCCACCACCTCTCTGGGCAACCTGTTCCAGTGTTCTACAACTCTCATGGTAAAAAATTTTTTCCTAATATCCAATCTGAATCTACCTCCCTCTATTTTAAAACCATTACCCCTTGTCCTATCACAACAGGCCCTCCTGAACAGCCTCTCCCCATCTTTCTTGTAGGCCCCCTTGAGGTACTGGAAGACCGCTATAAGGTCACCCCGGAGCCTCCTCTTCTCCAGGCTGAACAGCCCCAACTCTTTCAGCCTGTCCTCATAGTTATGTACTATTATGAGCTAGCAAGACTAAAACCTCAAAGACTTTTTAAGATTTGATTTAGAGGAGTGTGCAGTGACGAGCAGGAGGTTGAGAGCTGCTCTTTAATTCTACGGATTTAGCTATATAATAAAGCTGGAGCTCTGTAACTGTTATGCATATATCCCGAATGTGAA